AGGAGGGGGAGGGGGTGGAGCCTCCTTTCATGAGCTGGGATCACTCGAGGAGAACGTCTCATGTGGTGGATGCTCGTGGTGTGTTCAAGAACAACAGAAATCTGTAACTCTCTTCACAAGACCGGTTTGATGTCTCAGACATCCTGTGAGCTCGAACAGAATAAACACACACACACGTGCACGCTAACGGAGCAGAAGGACTCAAAGTGACACCTGGACACAGACCCGAGAGCCCTTCACAATAAAACCTGAAAAGTCAGGAACAGGATGTGATGATTTGTAAAAGAGTGAAATGGGACAGGGTCGTGTTTACCCCTCTGCAGCCGCACCTCTTCTTCTTTATGCCTTTATTACAGAAACAGGAAAGTGAAGAGAGAGAGTGAGGGATGACATGCACGAAAGGAGTTGGATTCAAACCGGGGCCGTCCGCTTCAACAACTACAGACTCCGTAAATGGGTCGAGCCAACTAATGATTACTTCACCACTAGGCCACCGGTGCCCTTAAAGTGTTGTGAAAGAAGAGGTGGCGAGGGTGCCGGTGGCCTAGTGGCCAATGTACGGAGGCTAAGGTTCTCTGGGGGGGAGGGGGGTGGCCTGGATTCAGGTCCAACCTGTGGCTCCTTTCCCACATGCTGTTCCCCTCTCTCTCTCAGATTTCCTACTCTGTACTTTATGTGCATTCATGCAGCACGGTCTTCAGTGTGCAGACCCCTCCCATTGTTTACTTCAGAAAGATCCTTCTTTGGTGATGTTCTTTTTTTTTATACTCAATCATGTTGCTAACCTGTTGCCAGTTAAGGAGTCATATGTAACGCTGACTCCTAGTGTTTAAAATAGGTACTGCAGTCTAAATTCCCCCCCCCTCTCTAGAGTGGATGCTCACACAGGTTGCCATGTGGTGAACACCGAAGCTTCAGTGTTTATCCAGCTCTGCATCTGTCTGTAAACCTTTCTGCGTTCTAACCTCGCTCCATTTTTCAAAAGCATCTCCAATATTGATCCTAGTTTGAGCACGTTTCTGCTCGTGGAGCTTATTAGAAACATGCAGAGGCTTTTTAGGTCGGGTACAATCACTTCTATCTGAACCAGTTCTCTTGCTGCTTCCATCACTGCAACACCTGTTGGTTTGACCTGATAACTGCTCTCATATCTGGCAAACCGAGGGGCGTCCAAAACGGCCGTGTGGGGGTGCCTTAAAACGCCTACCTTCTCTGGTCCAAATAAATCCAGAGCATTCAGGACCAGAATCTAAAGTTGTCAGAGAAGCCAGCACTTCAACATAGCATGTTTCCTTAATGTCTGATCATATAGTAAGGTCACTTTATCATTTCACTCGCTACACATCTCACTGATTGGACCTTTAAATTCATCAATAAAGAGAAGAACACACGTGAGAGGAGACGTCCTGACATGCTCCCTCCAGAGAACGACCATCAGTCTCTTCAAGAGAAAATGTGTCGTTGTCTTTCAGACAGCAGAAAACAAAGAGCCTGACATCACTTTTTCCACTTTCAGCACAAAGAGGTCGATGGAGTCGTTGAGGTTTGGAAATCTTGGTGTTTTTATTGTAAGTATTGCATCTTCAACTTACACGGCTAGAATCATCATCATCATCATCATCAGACTGCATGTTTTACAAAGGATGGCCACAGTTTTAGAACATCAGGAGGAGCGTCCTACTCAAAGTCAAACCTCCTGTGAGACCGACGCCAGCATGGAGTGTGGTTTACAGACAAACTAAAAAAACACTGCAACGTCCACTTGTTGTCGGAGCTGGTGCACGGCTGGCCAAGCTGCAAAACTGGAACTGGACATTCTTGGAGAGTGAAACCCGCATGAAAACACCTGACCTGAAACCCGGAGGTAAGAATATAGCTTTGTGATCTCCAGCTCATGAAGATATGATCGTGGTGGTCTTTAAAATAATAACTCTGAGCAGTCTGCGGCGAGGGCCGTTAACGCTCAGTGCAACAGTTAGATCTGATAATGACGCAACAGCACCGTCGGTTAGGGCGCGTCCTGCTGGATAGATCGCCTTCTGATGACGAATCACAAGTCTGATCAGCCTACTGAGGTCTGCAAACGTGGGACCTTTTTCTGTTCCTGTCCGCAGTGCAGGTTCATCACATCGACATAATGAAGACGAGAGAACAAAAAAACAACGAGAATCTGAAGGCTAATAACTTAAACGGGGGAAGAATAAATGTAAACTGTCCCTCAAAACGAGAGAGGGAGAGAGAGAGAGAGAGAGAGAGAGAGAGGGAGAGAGGGACAGAGAGAAAGAGAGAGAGAGAGAGAGAGAGGGAGAGAGGGAGAGAAATAGAGAGGGAGAGCGAGAGAGGGAGAGCGAGAGAGGGAGAGAGAGAGAGAGGAGAGAGGAGTGGGAAGAGAGAGAGAGAAATAGAGAGGGAGAGAGGGGGGGAGAGAGAGAGAGAGAGAGGACACTGAGGTGTTCTGAGGTGGTTTTGGTGGTTTTTCTTCTGTATAATCCAGCACCTAAATGTGGCGACTCAGTGTGACCACAGCCGGCGTTAAACTTTCCACCTTCACGACGTCCTTCAGAGAAAGCAAAGGATTTGTTCTGTTTCTTTTTTTTCCATATATATTTCATCTTTAAAACCTCAATCGGAGGCCTTGTTTTGTAAAAGGTAAGACACATTTTGTCGACTAAAACACACGTCTAATAGAGACTACAATCCTCGGCTCGGAGGAACGTGGAGCGTTAGACCCCCTTTCATCAGGTAGGAGCTGGCTCAACGAGTGAGGAGACCGACTCTCAAACACGACCGGAGAGGAGGAGTTAATACGAGACCTGGTTGACACGTAGGCAGGTTTAAAGGAAGGTTAACAACGATGTCTCAGACATAAGAACATTTTCTCCCCACTCCTCTGCAATGACCATTTCATTTTTAAAGTCATCCCACCAACCCAAAGTCTGACCGGGTCTCTTCTAAAAACCGCTGGCGTTGTGCGGTGGGAGTCTTTTATGAATCAGCAGTGACCTCCGTCATCCAATCAGGGGTCTCTGCTCGTCCACATAGTGGGAGAGTAACTGTCTGTGTGTGTGTGTGTGTGTGTGTGTGTGTGTGTGTGTGTGTGTGTGTGTGTGTGTGTGAGTGTGTAAAAAGTCCAGTTAGCATCATTAGCACCAGCGCTAGTTTGGTTACGTCTGCCATCACACTAATCTCATGTAAACTAAAGAGACAGCGTCCCACGATGACGTCACACGGAGGAGAAACTGGCGCACAGCGTGACGCTCTCCCCGTCGACAAAGAAACACCTTAAACAGAGTTTCTGAACATCTTCACCGTGGGTGGAGTTTTACTAAAGGAGAGTTTTAAAACGCCATTTGTGTACGAAAGGTCAAAACGCTCAGAGGAAGATACGTTTAGAGAAATACCCGCCTACGTGTGTTTGGACCCGCCTCTGAAGGCGGAGCATGGAGTGGTTTAGTCTTCCGGCCTATCCCGTTGTCCGGTGCGTGCTGGTTTGGGGAGTCGTCTCCTCACACGGCGTGGGGCTCTAACCAGGCGAGGCTCAGCACTAAGAGCAGCTTAGGGGCCCAATTACATTTCAAGTGTCCATCGAGTAAAACATCAGAAAACAAAATGGCTACATTTCTTATCCCCCCCCCACCCCGCCGCCCCCCAGAAAAAAGACAAATAACAATAAACCCATCAAATATACAACTCTTGGAATAAGGAGCGAGAGGAATGAGAGCGAACACGAGTCAGAGGCCGTCTGTCTCGCCGCTGCTCGCGCTCGCCGAGGGAGTGAGAAATAAATAGTTTGAAAAGGTGGCGTTTACTTTCACATACAAAAGGGTGAACGAGAGAGCGAGAGAGACGCAGACACGACAGGAAATAAAAACACAGAAGAAGAAAGCAGTGTGGCTGAAGTGCAACTCTTAATGCCAGTGGAGTCTGGATGGCGAGCAATGACATCATAAACACCCGTTTTTGTTCCCTGCACGCTTCACGCTCTCTCTCCACAGATTACCTGACCGCCAGTGGAATCCCACAAACCCCTCCCCCCCACATTTCATGAACATTAACAAACAAAAAGGAGAAAGAGTCGAATAAATAAAAAGAGCGCCACACAGACTCCGCCTCCTCCACCAGCTCGACGGGGGAAGTTGATTCAACTTTTTTTTTTTCTCCTCGTGGCGGCGACAGCGTAAAAAAACATCCCAATGTTTCCAGAACAAAGTCAGAGAGTCCATCCGCATGTCATTGGCCGCCACAGGAAGAGATCTTTTTAAAAACAAACACCCGGGAGCTCCCCCTTTGTTTTCTTCTTCTTTTTTGAAGTTTCATTTATTAAACTACTCGTATGTACAAAAGAAGGAGGACGTTAGCTTGTCGGACGGTCACACAGTCTTCAGGGAGGAGGGGGCGGAGCCTAGGAGTTATTGCTTGTTACTGCTGGAGAGACGTTTGTGGTCGTCGTGTTTCTGTGTTTGTGCCGTTTTTTTTATGGACAGCTCTAAAGTAGGCGAGTGCAGGGATGAAACACACACACACACACACCTGTTATGATTCGCACTGAGCACCCACTTCCGACAGGAATGCTTGTTTTCCCCGCCCTCCGTTTCTGTTCGTGGTCGTTCTTCCTCCGTGCTCTGCTGGAGACGACCGCGGCAGCCGCACAGCGTTGGCTTTAAAAGCTTCGTGGCGGTGGATCTGACCTGCTCCCCCCGTTGGTTTGTTTCACAATAGCACCAGTTCAAGTGTCCGAGCCTCTGCAGTGTGGAGCAGAGGCAAAAAAAAGAAAACAGAAGGGGGGTAAGACGAAGGGTTAAATTCAGGGCTGAGGGGACGTCGAGGGGGTAAGCTGCGTCGATATGGCGAAGGTCTCACACACACACACACACACACACACACACACACACACACACACACACACACACACACACACACACACACACACACACACACACACACACACACACACACACACACACACACACACACACACACACACACACACACACACACACACACACACACACACACACACACACACACACACACACACACACACACACACACACACACACACACACAGCAGGAGAGATCGTTTAAGTGCATTTTGGATGAACATAGGGGTCGTGTGTTTGAAAACTTCAGACTCTTCATTTGGGTTCAAAGATGAAGATGTTTGATCTCCCTTTCAAAGAAGGTTTAAACCAGCTGGCTGCCTCACATCGCCGTGTTGGCGTCCCTGCTGTGGGCGTGTCGGTCGGGGCGGCTCGAAGCTCAGAGGTGAGGAAGAGCTCGCAGTGGAGTGCCTCCACCAGCAGCATGAGGAGGAAGAGGAGGAGGAGCGGGGGAAACTAAAGGCTCGGAGCAGGAGGAAGCGCTGCTGAAGCGACACAAAGGCGGTTAGCTGTGGGGGCGTGGCCTCCGTTGGATGTGTGCGTAGGCGGACAGGCAGGTTTGGCGAGGGAGGTGGAGGTGGTGGCTGTGGAGGTGGAGGTGGTGTTGGACTCTAGGAGGGGAAGGCAAGTTTGACACTGCAGGAGGAGTAGCCCTCGTCGCTCGCCATGCTCTGCAGGCTGCTGTGGTCGTCCAGGTCGCTGGTGCTGGCTGTGCTGACGCTGTCCAGCTCTCCATGGGAGAACTCCGTGCTTTCAACGTCCACCTCGATCTCCTCTGCAGACCAGGACGAGGGAGAGAGAGAGAGGGGGGGAGAGAGAGAAGGAAAGAGAGAGAGAGAGAGAGGAGGGGGAGAGAGAGAGAGAGAGAGAGAGAGGAGAAGAGGAGGGGAAACAAACTATTTAATCGTCTTTAAATAGCTTTACATATTTTTCTTAAAAATTCAAAAGATCAGACTTGACCATGAAAGCCTTCTGGGGGTGTTTACATATTAAACCTCTCACCAGGAAATGTCCTGTTTAGAGCTTTGACATGCAAACGACCCCAGAATGATGTGTTGATTAAGTTCAGCGACACCTCCCCTCACACGGCGTCCCAGAGGAGCTGTGCTGTTTTAAGAGCGCAGCCACACTCACCTTGGTCAGAGTCAGAGTGGTCGGAGCAGAGGGTTGAGCCTACACTGTCCATGCGTATCCTCTCGCCCTCCCCTGGGCTGCTCTGGGCCGCAGCACTGCTGCCTCCCCTCAGCAGCTCCAGCTGGCGTTGGAGGTGCCTCTGCTCGCGCTCCAGAGACTCCAGCTGGTACTGGCTCTTCCTGTCCGCCTCTTCAAGTTTCTGCTCAGGAGAGAGAAGAGCGGGACACAGGAAAGGTGAACTTTGAGTGTCAGAGAGCAGGGTCAGTGAACTGATCCAATATAAGAGGAGAGGAGAGGAGAGGAGAGGAGGTGACAGGAGAGGAGAGGAGAGGAGGTGACAGGAGAGGAGAAGGAGAGGAGAGGAGAAGAAGGTTCAACACGAGTGCAGCAGGTGGAGCAGCAGAAGAAACATGGAGGAGAAAAGAGGAAAGTAGGAAAGACAACTGAAGCAGCAGTGAGAGATAGTGAAGATACATTTTCTGTAAGGAAACTCCATTCATCTCCACCGTCTGTCAGAACACAAACAAGCCCCTCCCTCGTCTATTCAAACATTCACACACTCAACTCGTTGTGTCCCCTGCTTTTTCCTCCTGCCAGCTTGGAAAACCGCTCCATGATTTCCCTCACCTTCCTTGTTTACACCGTTTCGCCTTCTCTACGCCTACCTTCATTACAATAAGAGCGAGGGGGGCGGCGGCGGGGGTTGACACCACAGTGTGGGGAATGACAACAATATGGGCGTTATCACCCCCCGCCCCCCTCCCCTCTCCATTACGTGCTCACTACAGCAGCGCTCTCACATGCAGACTGCTCAGTCTCCGGGCCGTCTCATGGCGGTCTTTAAAGCGGAGGGGAAGGCGTGCAGCAGGACGTCTGAATGTGTTACATGCTCTTTAAAATCAGGACGCAGCGAGCAGCTGGAGACGGCTGATAACACGCCACACCTTCAATTACAAGCCAAGACAACGCATCAGGCCGCAGGGTAAATAAAAGGACGGGAATATTAAACATTAAAACAGAATAAATTAAAGGAAGTAAACTCTTTAATAAGGAGGCACTGCTCCGCTACAAACACAATGTTTATTAGATGAACTGTATAAATCTGCTGCAAAGGCTTCTGGGATGAAGACGGCTGAAAGCTCCAATCAGACCGCACCCTGGAGTTAAAAACCGAACGTCATCACATCCATCTGGACATCAAAACCACGAGGGATCCCAGCAGAACGCCCGCCACAACCCGATGAGTAAGATCCATATCTTGTACACATTTCTTCATCTGAAAGAGGGCAGCGTCCTGAACACCTGCACGATCTATTTTTGTTTATTTAACATGGACATACAGTAACATTGGTGCTGTAACATTTAACCATGCACAAGTTCCACATGCTCCTGATCCGTACCTTTATGTGTGCTTTGGCTTTGTTGAGCAGGCCCAGGGTGGTGTGCCGGTTGCAGTCTGGTCCCAGAGGTATGAGGGCCTTCAACCGCTCCAGACACAGCCGCAGATGAGCTCGTCTGCAGAGGAAGAGACAAACAGAGAATGATTAGAGAATGAAGACAATGTACAACAGTCAAGACGAGAGGAGTGTTTCATACATTGTGTGCTGCGGCTCAAAGTCCTACTCAGCTTCAACCCCGCCGAGTGAAAACAAAATAAACTTTCTGTTTTATTTACAGTACTGTTGAAGTCTCTCAGGCTGGATTTTTAACTCCAGCTTTAGTCCCGACCTTTGTCACCTTGAAGCAAGCGCTTCTCTTCGGAGTGCAGGCTCATAAAAAATAATGTAATCTCACTCTGTAAGAATCCACAGCTACAAGCGGGCTCATGTATTTTAAATCCCCCCATAGTTCAGCACCGCAGCAGGTTACATATGATTCAGCCTCCAGACAATACTTTATCCTCTGCTGGTATTTGTTGCACCCAGCTTCAGTTACCCTCCTCGTCTACATGACTAACAAGTCTCAGATTTGGGTGGGCAGGGGGGGTTGGGGGGTGGAAAGGTGTAATGGACCTTGCTTGGCTCTTACACTCCATCATCCTGACAGTCCCTTATTCTGTGACGGCAGAGCGGCCCCGGGTACTATCTCTCCTGCTAATGGCTCAGAGTCGAGAGGTAACGAGAGATAATTGTGGCTATAACACAATCAGCACTCCATTAGCAGGAGCTGCCCTTTCAGCTAGCCTGAAGGGAACCAGGGAGGGGGGGGGGGGTCATTGGAGCAACCAAGACTCAGGAACTATCTCTAAGGGGAGCCCAAAGGAGACAGACCCAGGAGACTGGAGCAGAAATTCTCTGCACTGATTACGCCAGGCTAGACAGCTCCATAGTACGCTCTGCTGCTTTAAGACTGGAGGAGTGTGTGTGTGTGTGTGTGTGTGTGTGTGGAGGGGAGGTTCAGCTATGCATGGATGCTGCTGATAAGAACAAGAGAGCAGAGTGAGGCATTACACCCATGCAGAACATGTGAGTGTGCGATTAAAGGACGTGAACCAGACGAGTGGGGGGGGGGGGGGTTTGCTGCAGTCTGTAGTGATGAAAGTCACATAACAGGTAGTACACACACGCCGTCAGTCTGGGCGAGTGTGATGATAACCATCCGTTGTGTGAGGTCATCTCTGAGTGTCCAAGTCTCCTCTTTGTCTGTGAAACATCTGTTAATGTGTCACTGGAACACCAACGCTACCGTACACACGCACGCACACGGCCGCACGCACGCACACGCAGATATCACCTGGTAATTAATCACATTCTCATCCTTCACAGCATCCTGAGGGGAACGCACACCACTCCACCAGAATCTAGGCCTCACTACAGAGAGGACGGCGTGGCAGGATATCTGTCCCAGCGACTTCTAGTCCCGTCCGTTTTGTTCGGCGCCGTAATTAAGACAACAACTCCATCACGTGGAAACGAGGAATTTAAGTGGATCTTTCTGCCATGTACACACACACACACACACACACACAGTGTGAGTGTGTGTGTGTGTCTGACAGGCGTCCAGTTAACAAACTCCAGTCCTCTGGGACCACTATCTTCTTTTCCTCTACTCCCATTGAGTTTTAAACATCCCTTCCAGCAGACAACCTCAGATAACCCCGACTGCCTTTCTCTCCCCCCTCCCCCTCACTGACCCGATCTGACATGACAACTGTACAGAGGAAGCTGAGGGGTACGCTGACCCCTCTGGCACCGCACTGCATCTCAAGCATGCATCTGTCTACCACCGAAATATCCCATAACGACTTTCAGCTGTAAGACCGGAGCTGCTGATTCACCGCTTTCTGACGAGTCAGTGTGAAGCAGCAAAACACCCTTCCACAATCACCTGACGATGATGATGATGAGAAGGAGGAAGAGGGGAGAAGGAGTCTGCTATGCTGTCACCTCATCCAGCACAGCGCGTCCTGGTTCTGTCCTTTCCACAGCCACTTTATGGACTGTGTGATCTCCTCATGCTACAGCCTGGCAGCATGCACACACATCCTCGCTGTGACTCATATTGACAGACAGACATGAGAGACGTGTGCTTGACATTTAATCTCTGGGTGCATGATGTGCTCTACAGCGGAGCACTCTGATAACTGTAGCGCAGGAGGGAGTGTCTGAGGAACAGTGTGTGACTGTGGGAGAGAGGAGGAAGAATAGGTGTCACGTTGGACCTTCTGCTAATGGAGCTTCAAACTCGAGCTCTTACTCTCAAGTATTTCACACACACACTAAACTCCTGAAAGTGTCCACATTCTGAAGAGTGAGCGCCATCGGGGACTTTACAGGAGAAATTCCCCCTAACAGCTCCCTAGTAAAAGTCCAGCGTGAAGTCAGGGTCGAATGAACACAGCAGGAAATGTTCAGGAAAATTCACTAGAACAGAAAGAGAGGGAGAAAGAGAGAGAAAGAAAGAGAGAGAGAAAAAGAGAGAGAGAGAGGGAGACAGATAGAGAGAGAGGGAGAGAGAAGGAGAGAAAGAGAGAGAGACAGAGAGTGAGGGGGAGAGAGAGAGAGAGAGAGAGAGACAGAGAGAGAGAGGGAGAGGGAGACAGAGACAAAGAGAGAGGAGGGAGAGAGAGAGAGAGCACGAGAGAGAAAGAGGAATTGAATGACCACAGCAGGAAATGTTCAGGAAAATTCCCTGGGACGGAAAGAGAGGGGATGATTAGTTCAGATCCTGCAACCGGCTCACGATGGGAGTCGTAGAATGTGCTGAATTTTCCAGATTTTTTTTGCATTGACTAAATGTGAAACATGTACTCGAGGGGGGGGGGGGGGCGCAGTAAAGAGGAGAGTCGGAGAGAAGAGTTCGGCTGTTTGGGTTCACACATGAAATGTTCAGGACGAGTTTTGTGCGTCCAACAACGTTCTAATGATTCTGAGCCCTTGAGAGGCACCTTGAGGTAACCGTGGAGACTGGGTTATCAGGTCAGGCTGTTATCAGGTTAAAGGTCATGAGCTTCTGGTGATGCCCTTACGACAGGTCCCTAATCCCAGAGAAAGGCTTCTTTATCAACTCAACCCTCAGGCCAAAGAGCTTAAGCGGTTTGCAGCTTACGATATGAGTGGCAGCTTGTGACCATAAATACCTGCAAGCTGCGGCCTGAATCTGCATAACCTCCACCTCTATGTAGGCACATAACACGGCAACCAGCACCAGAGCACGCTGCTTCAGAGATCTTAGAACAGACCGGTGATAGTTTGACAAACAGCTGTGGATTCACCGTGCAGCCCCTTAACTTCACCTCCTCAGGTGCTACAGTTAAGGATACAGGATGTGATAATAATAATAATAATAATAACTTTATTTATATAGCACCTTTTAAAAACACAGGTTTACAAAGTGCTTTGACAAACAGCAAGAACAAAGCAAACTAAACCAAACACAGAAAAACAGTAAGAATATAACAGATGCAAAATACCAAAAATAATTAAATACAATTCAACAGAAAAGAACCCAAAGTGCACGATACACAACCAGACATATATAACCCGACCATCATAAGAACCATCATAAGAACCCAGGAACACAAGAACCCAACAACACGAGCTGAGACCAAGAGGACCAAAGATTTAAAAAGATGTAAGAAACTAAGAGATAAAAGCAAATAAAAAGCAATGAGAAGGTAAGCGCAGTAAAAGAAATAAAAACAAGTGGTTAAAGGATCAAAAAACCCAAAACTATAATATTAATAAAAATAAAAATTAACTATAAATACGAAACATAAATACACAAAGTAAGTAAGATAAGAAATTACCAAGTTAAAACACAAGAGGAGATTAAGATATGAGCATAAATACGAGATAAGACCATAAATAAAAGACAGTAAGAAGTAGAAGAAGATAAAAATAGTAAAACCAGTAAGAGAAGACATTAAGAAGACGACATCACATAAAAGCAAGTCTGTAAAAGTATGTTTTAAGAAGGGATTTAAAAGAATTGAGGGAATCTGCAAGTCTTATCTCCTCAGGGAGGTCGTTCCAAAGTCGAGGGGCCCTGACTGAAAAGGCCCGGTCACCTTTAGTTTTAAGTCTCGACTTTGGAACGACCAGGAGGCTCCCACCTGAGGATCTAAGACTGGCTCATACAAAAAACAGCTGGCTCATATGGTGTCAGTAACTCTGTTATATAACTTGGAGCCAGTCCCGTCTGTGCTTTAAAAGTAATGAGTAAAATCTTAAAATCGATTCTAAAACGTACAGGAAGCCAGTGTAATGAAGCTAAAATTGGAGTGATGTGATGTCGTCTGTTACAACCAGTAAGAAGCCTAGCTGCTGCATTTTGGACCAGCTGGAGGCGAGACAGTGATTTATTTGTGATTCCGGAAAAGAGGGAGTTACAGTAGTCAAGTCGGGAGAAAATGAGGGCGTGGATGATCTTTTCAAGGTCTTGTTGGGTTAGGATTGTTTTAATTTTGGAGATGGTGCGTAGATGGAAGAAGCTTGATTGGACAACTGTTTTGATATGGGATTCAAAGGTGAGATTGCAATCGAATGTTATTCCTAGAGGAATGTGATGTCAGAATCAGAATCAGAAATACTTCATTAATCCCAGAGGGAAATTCGATTTGTTACAGTTGCTCCAAAATATAGCAGTAGAAACATAGTAATACAAATATTAATTAAATAGAATAGGAATGTAAGTAAGATTTCAATCATAGGTACAAGAAATATTTACACGAATAAGAGTCAGATGGAATATATACACACATTTTCAAGATTATTGCAGTTTGTTCAATATTGCACTATATTGCAGTTTTAATAAATAATGAGTTAAGGTGGAGGTTACAGTTTTTCAGTTCTGTTTTATTTTTTCTTATTTCGTCACAGGGTAACAGGCGGTTTGTGTAAATGTGGCTGAACATGAGACATCACTTCCTGCTCTCCTGGGAGAGCTGTGTGGCCTGTTAAGGAGCACACAGCTTATCGCTTGTAGACAGAAGACATGGCAGAACAAGCGGTGCAATTGAGCCTCTGATTGGTCCGCTGACTCACCAATGTCAAGAGGATCCATCTTCAATCAAG